CTCCCCCTTGGCTTGCCCTGAACCCCCCCTTCCCACCTCCAAAGCTCCCCCTTTATCCCAATATCTCCCACTTTATCCCTAAAATCTCCCCTCGGGAGCGTTTCTCCGGCCCCGGCGATGAGCTTGGAGCACATGAAAGGTGTTTAAAGCGCTGCTTGATCCCGATTCTCCCGTTTTCCCTCTTCCTCTTCTTCTCCAGCTCTTTTTCCACCTCTCAAGAGAACGTGTCTTCACGGAGGATCGGGCCCGCTTCTACGGCGCCGAGATCGTCTCCGCCTTGGAATATCTCCATTCCCGGGATGTGGTCTACAGGGACATCAAGGTACCGGCGCCTTCGCCCCATCCCGGTGCACCTCCACCCCTTTGCCTTGGCTCAAGAGGGGTTGAGTCCTTCCCAGCTACAGCTCCCTAAAAATCCCTTTGGAGGCGGGAGCAGCTCCCGCTCCATCCCTTCTCCTGCTTTTCCAGCTGGAAAACCTCATGTTGGATAAAGATGGACACATCAAAATCACCGACTTCGGGCTCTGCAAGGAGGGCATCAGCGACGGAGCCACCATGAAGACCTTCTGCGGCACCCCCGAGTACCTGGCGCCGGAGGTATCCGCCTGCTTCATCCCTAGGGATTCCCCTCCCGCCATTCCCAAAGCTCCCGGCGCTCATCCCGAGGCTCCCTCCTGTAGGTGCTGGAGGACAACGACTACGGGCGCGCCGTGGACTGGTGGGGCCTGGGGGTGGCGATGTACGAGATGATGTGCGGCCGCCTCCCCTTCTACAACCAGGACCACGAGCGGCTCTTCGAGCTCATCCTTATGGAAGAGATCCGCTTCCCGCGCACCCTCAGCCCCGAGGCCAAGGCCCTGCTGGCCGGGCTGCTCAAGAAGGACCCCAAGCAGCGGTGAGGGGCTTGGGGGGGTGGTGGAGTCCTGGTCCTGGTCCTGGTTCTGGTCCTGGTCCTGGTCCTGGTCCTGGTCCTGGTCCTGGTCCTGGTCCTGGTCCTGGTCCTGGTCCTGGTCCTGGTCCTGGTCCTGGTCCTGGTCCTGGTCCTGGTCCTGGTCCTGGTCCTGGTCCTGGTCCTGGTCCTGGTCCTGGTCCTGGTCCTGGTCCTGGTCCTGGTCCTGGTCCTGGTCCTGGTCCTGGTCCTGGTCCTGGTCCTGGTCCTGGTCCTGGTCCTGGTCCTGGTCCTGGTCCTGGTCCTGGTCCTGGTCCTGGTCCTGGTCCTGGTCCTGGTCCTGGTCCTGGTCCTGGTCCTGGTCCTGGTCCTGGTCCTGGTCCTGGTCCTGGTCCTGGTCCTGGTCCTGGTCCTGGTCCTGGTCCTGGTCCTGGTTCTGGACCTGATCCTGGTCCTGGTCTTGATTCTGGTTCTGGTCCTGGTCCCAGTCCCAGTTGAGATTCTGGTCTTGGTCCTGATCCCGGTCCTGGTCCTGGTTTTGGTCCTGGTCCCAGTCCTGATCCTGGTCCC